AGGTGCCACGGAGACTCATCTGTGTTTTGTATTTGTTGAGGTGTTTTTCCGGATCACCTTTTCCTTCGTATTTGGGAATTTTCGGAGGGACGAAGTTTTGATGCATCAGAAAGGTGCGAAGCTCTCTGGAAAAGGGTAAGTTGTCATCATCGTCGTCCAGCTCGTACGACCTACAGGGTTCGTTTGATTCGTTCCCACCCGCTGCTGGACAGGGTGGATGCTGAGCTGTTTCAGCCCTATTTCCCTAGTCCACTTGACTTCGCCTCTCCCGCTATTTCTAGGAGGGGGGTTCTGGATTTCATGGCTTTGTTCTTGCCTCTGATGAAGAGCGATTTGGCGGGCTGATCCCTATTTCTAGGTGCCCGTCCGATCGGGTCAAAGACGCTAACAGATCTCTAAGGTTGCTCTTAGGTGCCCGTCCGATCCGATCAAAGACGCTAACAGATTTTTGAGGTTGTTCTTCGTACTTCGGAGGAAAATTGTATTCTCCTACTGGGGCGCTGACTGGGGCGGCAGTATAGTTAGAAGTGTCTATCCCGACTTTTCTTTCAATAGGAGCTTCCCCCTAGGGGCTTACGTGAGTTCTCCTGCTGGACTCTGCCTCTACATATCTATGAGCAGATTGCTGGGGATATCGCGGGGTTGAAAACCGCCCTGACTTTGCACTTGCCTGAGAAGCTCTTGCATGGCCGCGTTCTGAGCTGCAATGGCTCTCATGTTAACAGCCATTTGTGTTACTTCGACTGTTAAACGTGCGGCAGTTCTTCCACCTCGATCGTAACGGTGGTGAGGTCGTTGTTGATTGACATTGGTACGGATAATCTCTTCTTCAAAGACGTCCCTTGCCCCTGTATTTGCCCCTTCGTTGCTGGAACTCATGTTCCAAAGCGGCTAAAGAATCCTTTTTTCAAGGATCAGTCCCTTTCTCAAATGAGGAATATCGACCAGATGTTCATGCAGCTTTTGGTGGGAAAACTCATGGTTAAGTTAGTTCCCACAGACGGCGCCAATCTGTTGACCTCGAAAAATGGCTATGACACGTGGCTAATAGAAAATGTTTTCAAGTCAGCTCCTCCCTGCACACGTGGCACACCGTCAGTCACTCGTGGCCTTTTCCGGAGGGGTTTGGAGCGGCCGCAAGCACTCCGACGGTCAAGTCAACTTGGTGTTTAACCAAACGAAAAGGGGGTTCACCGGCAATAGGACATTCACCGGGAAATAATTTGAGAATGTGTATATAATAAGGATGCCCACAATGTCGGGGGAGAAGATAATACCCCGAATGTTCTTTATAGTCGTTTCTTGAACCTCTTTTCTCTAAAAAATTTCCCCTTTTAGATATAAGGAGGGAACATTTATACTAAGGATGAGAAGAGGAGAACCGTTGGATGAGGAGACACGTGTTGCAAAATCTCCAGAATTCGCCCCATCCTAGGTGTCAATCTGTCCATCCATAGGCTGGCTGGCATTTAGTGTCTTCTGACATGGCAGCTGAATTGACCGTTTGGGAACTTGTCACACGTCCCATCAGCCAGGGATTTGACTTTGGAAAGATCTGTCTACAAGAGATCTTTGACGAGGCGAGGCAGGTGGGGGGTTGCAGTGTTGTGAAAGCAGAGTACGGGTCTTTGCATCCATCGTGTATTTGTGGATGAGTTTGGTTCATTGCTGACGCGTATTCAGCTCGTTCCAAGAGGCAGTCACTTCAGATCGTCCCATGTGTAACCACCTCGGGCAATCCTTAGACTGTTCACGTATACTGATACGTGGCGGTCAAGGTGGAGGGTTTGACACAGACCCGTAACAATTATTATTATTATTATTAAAAGATCATATGATTACCGACAAAATGATTGTTGATGATTTTGATTGAAAACAATACTTTTAGAAATTCAGATGGAATTATTGACTTTGTTCTCCTGTTGAGATCTTCGTTAAGTGGAGGTCAATTGGTTGGCTAAGTTGGTAGATGATGATGGTTGCAGTGAATTAATTTAAAGATGCTTGGTGGTGAACTGAGAAGGGGAGGAATGGTAGTTGTATCACTTTTTTTCAGACACTTTTAATTGATTCCAATGTTTTAATTGGTGTTTTATGACTTTTTTGAGTGTTTGTCACTTTTTTGAGTGACAAATGTTACTTTTTAATCAAAGTGACATATATTTGATAAAAAAGTGACGCTTAACTTCAAAAAGTGTTATTGTGTTAATTTCTTCATAAAAAAGTGATGTTGTGTCACACTTAATTTTACGCAGTATTTTTTACTACCAAAATATTTGTAATATGATTTTTCAAAAAAAGACCTAATTTTATGGGTATTTTTGTAAGGTGCCACAATTATTCTATTGGCACAAGTCATGAAATGAGGCCCACTTAACGAACTTGCCACCTTTGGCCCAACTCGTTGATGCCAATCGACCTGAGTCACGGTCCAGACCCACGGGCCAATTCAAAACCTTTGATATTCTATCTTCAAACTATTAGTTATAAAACGTTATGATTTGTTCAAGTCAAGCAGGAGATATCCATAAACGGTCTAAATAACATAACCAAATAGATCCGATCAAATTCGAATCCAACCAACCACATAATCTTGGAGAATGCTCGTCAATCCCATCTAGACGGTTATCACAGTCCTATTAATTTTCTAACCAATCTTAGTATTATCTATCTAATCTGAACTACTATTTCTTACTTTCCCTGTGCTACTCATACAACTCTCGATAAGCTTTACTAATCTAACCGTTGAAGGGTCTTCAATTGGCATCATGCCAGTGTCCCCTAAAGATCTTTAACGACTTTTTCTTCTTCTACTACTTTTCTTGAGTTCCGCAGGATTGTTAGTGGCCCGATCAATCCAATTTCTTCAAATCGTAGAATCTATCATCTACAGTAGAAAATTTTGATAATTGAACTGAACATTTGGTGGTGAAAATCACAGGTTACAAATATATACACAAAACTTGAGTTTGTTTTGAGGTTTATATTTTCTCATAATGAAGCACACCTGTCATCAAAGCCTTTTTTTTCTTTTTTTTTTTTTACGAACATGTTTGAACAATTTATTTTTAAGTAAATAATTAGTTTTTAAAGAGTAAAGATATTTTTAAGCATTTTCCATATTAAGAACATATTTCGATAAGTTACTTTTGAGATAAAAAGCTACTTTTTAAAAGTAAATTTACTTTTAAGTAGTTTTTGATAATCCATTTTTCGTTTACCTTTCCGAAGACATTCTTTTATTTTTTATTGTTCTAGCAAGTTGCAACTTTTTCATGTCTCGTCTTAAAGTGGCCTTCAAAACTAAAGAAGAGGTCATGCATTTTTGAATGAATAAACATTTCATAGTTCTCTCTCTCTCTAGTACGTACATGTTTTGTTCTCTGCAATTGCTAGAACGAAACACTTTTTGATTCTTTATTTTCTTTATAAATCCTATTCTTTTTAATAATAATAATATTATTATTATTATTATTATTATTAACAGATCATATGATCACTGACAAAATGATGGTTGATGATTTTGATTGAAAACAATACTTTCAGAAATTCAGATGGAATTATTGACTGTTTTATTATTGGTGATCATTAAGACAACTTTATAGTGATTACAAGATATGTTGAAAATTATAGATAATACTTCAAAAAAAAGTTATTGATGACCGTCAACAGTGATATTTGGTAATTCTAATTGAAATCAATATATGTTGACGATTCAAACAAAATTATCAATAACGATACTATTTCTAATAGCACACATTCATATGTGATTCTCGATGTCATTAGTGATGTTGGAATCACCGATGATGCTTTAGTCACCGACAAGAAGCTAGCTATCGATTATCAGAGACATTATGGTTATTGATAATTCTGATTGAAACCAAAATATGTTAGTGATTCAGATAGAACTATGAATATGGATGTTGCGTGATTTCACTATCACACATTTTCAACTATTAACATTAACAATGTCATCTATGATATTTTCAAAAATAATCAGCGGTCCATTAGTCACTCACGGTAAGCCCCCGTAGTTACTCGCAAAATTTAATTATTTCTATAGTTTTATTTTTAGAAAATATTTTGACATGTTGTTATAACATAACCAATTAATAAATTATTTTTTGAACTTTTTATTTTTTCTGACATAATTTTCGGTTGGTATGTAATTATTATATTTGGATTCTTATTTAATAAATTTCTTTAGGAAATTAAAATTTTAAAATAATAATGTTTTAATAGGACTAACTAAAAGACAATTCATAGTCTTAGATTTTTTATTATTGATATTTTTTTAATGTTATTGATTATCAACAAATTTTTCATTAAAAAAATAAAGGACAGATATATGTAAATATTAAAAATTGTGGGCTTTCAATAAAGGAAAATCTTGAAATTTGGCCATTGATTTGAATAAATGTTATTCAAATCTGCCACATCTTGAAATGTCAACAGATTTGTCGACAAAAATATCAGGGTAGCAACTAGCAAAACTCTTCAATAAATATGGAACTTTGGTGACTATCTAAATTGCCTTGAGCCCACTATGATCAAACGAAGTCAAATACAATATTTTATTGCCTAAGTGGGCATTAATATGAGAGAGAGAGAGCATCAACAATTTGGTCCAGAATGTCCAGAGTTCAAATGTTCGTATCAAATGTACGAAGATATTTACAATTGTTCCAGAATCCGAGCCATCCATGCCTGAGGGTTACATATAGCAACCCCATTCAATCATTCTATTCTACATTTCTCTACTGCCAATTAACCTACGCTGGCAGTGATCCAACAATAATAACACTACTCAAGAACCTATATAGATATACCCGTCTATTATGTGATGTACATTTCAATCTATTTCTATGCCTATTATATGCCATCTTCCTCAAAATCCCGCATGTTTGGTACAAGGGACTAGATTATGATAATCGACAAAATTTTCTAAATATTTTTCTTCCTTAATCCTTCCCACTCACATTCATCAGAGCGTACCTCCTCTAACTTGTCCTGACAGTGATCCAGTTATCCGAGGACTCAGCATTTGTTCCGTCATTCTGTGACACATTATTTTCCAAGTGACAGAATGTCGTTGAGAAGGGAATACTACGGTTGCAATCAACGGGATCACTGGGTGAATTATCCCAATCATTCTCATACATTCCCAAGGCTAAAACACTTGCAGGTGAATGGGCACCTTGCTCTCTAGAATCCCGGGTTTTCAGCTTCTTCCCCGATATAAATGGATGATCAAGCAACTTTTCAACTGTGTACCTCTTTCCGGGATTCCTCTCCAAGCATTTCTGCAGAAAATCCAAGCCCTCTTGAGAAAAATGTGCAGGAAACTCCGGTAGCTCATTACTGCAAGCAATCTTGAGAAATGCAGCCATTGGATTCGATATATCACCATCCCAAGGTGGCCTACCAGTGGCCATTTCGATGATTGTACATCCTAAAGACCATATATCTGCAGCAAATTCCAACCCTTCATTTCTCAGAACTTCAGGAGCCATCCACAGGGGAGTCCCCCCAATCCCCCTGCAAGATTGTAATGTAACTTTATCGTTTTTCAAACCAATCAACCTCTTAGCACATCCAAAATCAGCCAATTTAATGTTTCCTAATGAGCCTAATAGCACGTTCCGGCACTTGAGATCAGAATGCACAATCCCACTCTTATGCAAATACTTCAAACCCTGGAGGATTTCCCTTGTGTACAAAACTATGACTTTCTCATCCAACGCCCCACCAAAATTTTCTGCAACATCCGCTAAACTGCCTCCCGCCATGTATTCCATAAAAAGATTATAATTCCGTTCACCAGTTGCTTCACGTGACACATGTTTGCCTATGCATTTAATAATAAAAGGAGAATCCAAATCCTCAAGAATTTCAGACTCATTCTCGAGTGACAAAAGTCCAGCCTCTGATTCTGCAGATTTTATGACAAAAAGTGATCCGGTGGCTTTATCCATGGCCAAATGAACAGCCCCAAATGATCCCGATCCTATTATTTTCCCCTTCACCCAGTCACTGGGCTGTGGAGAGGATAAACACTTGCATTCTCCTGCCATTTCCTCTTCTTCTTGACTTTGTTACAAACAGGTTGCGTACAGAATTCTGTGGTAGTAATCAGTCTCAAACCAGGTAGAATAACCCAGTTCCCAACCTGTAATTCGCAATCTTTTAAACGCGAACAGAACTGAAGATTTCTCAGTATCTTGCACATAATTCACATAAACAACAATAAAAAATGAGAAGTTTTGTTTTGAATGTTGACACAAGAAAAAGGAAAAGACAGGATTTTCAGTTCTCAACTATGAAGAATTCAAACCGGGAGTTACCATGAAAGACTCTATTTGCAGGATTGCTGAAGAAAAATATGGAAATTGCAGTGTAAAGAGCGGTTCCCCAAGACATGGAAAACCGCCCTCTTGAAAAAAGTAGGCCTGCCTGTACGCGCAACAGAAATTGATGAAAATTGGTACTCGGATGAAAGAGGAAAAACTGAAAAGATTTCAGCGAACTGTGTTTAAATTATAAGATTTACAGTAAGAGAGCCGTTGGAGATCCAAAAATGGCGGAATTCGACGGAAACTGGGGGAAATAAGTGAACGGTTAACTGCCATGCAATATATAGCCTGTGTTTGAGCGCGAGTTTCGCCCCCATTCAATTATAATTCATGGTTTACTATATTCTTATCTACACCACATTCTTCAATAGTTCTACATTATAGCTAAGGGTAATTAGCACATAACATCTTCATCTTTCATTGTCATTGTGAAAAACGTCACTACCTTTCAATTTTTGATATTTTCACCCTTATTTTCACATTTCATTGGGCAAAATGTCATTTTCATCCATTTTTTTAATTAAAAAATTGTGAAATGACGAAAATACACTTTCATTTAAATCAAAAAAAAAGGAAAAAAAAAATTGTGATCATAGTCTCAATTTTTTTAAAAAGCGCAAATGAATTCCAAATAAATTATTAAAATGGTAATTAGTACATAATGTACACATCTTTCACCTTTATTGCGAAAAAAGGTCACTGTCTTTCATTTTTTGACATTTTCACTCTTAATTACACATTTGATTGTACAAACTATCATTTTCATCCATTTTCATTCAATTTCTCAATAAAAAACTGTAAAATAATGAATATGCCATCATATTTAAATAATAAATATATTTTTTTAATTTATAATTCTTTAATAGTTTATTTGGAACTCGTTTACACTTTTCATAAAAAAAATAATTTTTTTAATTATTTATTGGGGATTCGTTTGCACTTTTTTTTTTAAAAAAAAGACTATTGCTGCCATTAATTATTTAACTTTTTTTTTTATTTCAATAGTAGGGTATATTCGTCATTTTACTGTTTTTTATTGATAAATTGGATGAAAATAGATAGAAATGATAGTTTGCGCTATTAAATTATAATTAATGGAGAAAAAGAAAAAAAATAAAATAAAAGGTATGGACGTTTTTTGCAATAATAGTGAAATGTAGGATAGTATGTGCTAATTATCCTTTTAATAATTTATTTGGGAATCATTTGCGCTTTTCAAAAAAGTTGAAACTATATTTGTAATTAATTTTTTTCTTTTTCCTTTTGTTTTATTTAAAGGGAATTGTATTTTCGCCATTTCACAATTTTTAATTGAGAAAATAGATAAAAATGACATTTTGCGCAATGAAATGTGAAAATAAGGGTGAAAATGTCAAAAAATGAAAGATAATGACGTTTTCCACAATAATAGTAAAATGTGGGGACGTTATGTTCTAATTACCCTATACCTAAATCCAAAAACTTTTCTTTTCTTTAACCATACGTTCTCACTATTACTCTAATTATAATATAGAATAATGGAGGCCAAACGGGCACTATGTTTCATTTTGTAATTTATTTACAAGGAGAAGATTAGAAGTTCACAATTATTATTCACTTATAATTTCATATTCTATAATGTTCACCGCTTTTCGTAGTATAAGGAGATTATAATTAACTTATTAGACTCCCATTTGAGCATCATTATTTAAAAACTCATTTTTTCTTTAACTCATTTTCAATCATATATTCTTACAATAAAATATTTTACGAAAAAACCCATATATTTTTATATTTTTTATCCACATATTTTTTTTAAAAATCACTATTACAAAATCTATTTTCCAAAAAAAAAAATTAATTATTTAACTTTTTTTTTTATTTCAATAGTAGGGTATATTCGTCATTTTACTTTTTTCATTGATAAATTGGATGAAAATAGATAGAAATGATATTTTGCGCTATCAAATTATAATTAATGGAGAAAAAGTAAAAAAATAAAATAAAATAAAAGGTAGGGACGTTTTTTTGCAATAATAGTGAAATGTAGGATAGTATGTGCTAATTATCCTTTTAATAATTTATTTGGGAATCATTTGCGCTTTTCAAAAAAGTTGAGACTATATTTGTAATTAATTTTTTTCTTTTTCCTTTTGTTTTATTTAAAGGGAATTGTATTTTCGTCATTTCACAATTTTTAATTGAGGAAATAGATAAAAATGACATTTTGAGCAATGAAATGTGAAAATAAGGGTGAAAATATCAAAAAATGAAAAATAATGACGTTTTCCACAATAATAATAAAATATGGGGACGTTATGTTCTAATTACCCTATACCTAAATCCAAAAACTTTTCTTTTCTTTAACCATACGTTCTCACTATTACTCTAATTATAATATAGAATAATGGAGGCCAAACGGGCACTATGTTTCATTTCGTAATTTATTTACAAGGAGAAGATTAGAAGTTCACAATTATTATTCACTTATCATTTCATATTCTATAATGTTCACCGCTTTTCGTAGTATAAGGAGATTATAATTAACTTATTAGACCCCCATTTGAGCATCATTATTTAAAAACTCATTTTTTCTTTAACTCATTTTCAATCATATATTCTTACAATAAAATATTTTACAAGAAAACCCATATATTTTTATATTTTTTAACCACATTTTTTTAAAAAAATCACTATTACAAAATCTATTTTCCAAAAAAAAAAAAAGAAAAAAGAAACTCGTACAAACCGTAGAAAACTCAAAACACATGCATAAACAGAACGTTGTTTTAACATGATAAGTACTAAAAAATTCAAATATTGTATTCATAGCATGGTTTAGTATAGTTTGATATTGGTGCAACCGTGCAATCATACCTCAATTCCTACTAATGTATGGTTCTTGCCAAAGATTAATTGAATCTTGTATTTATTTCAACAAAAAGCACCATACTAAATTCTGATCAAGCATGGAGTATCACAATGTCTGTAGTTGGTATTTTAAAATTTAAGAACTATTTATTTTTTTTGAGAATTTGTACAAGCAAGTTTAGTAATGAACCAGTAAACCGTTAAGAGCAACGCTACTAATACATCGAGGTGTACATCACGGTGTACACCATTCTCACATGGTTAAGGGGCCCACTTCAAGTGGACCCCTCCATGTGAAGGGATGTAAATCTTGATGTATACTTTTTGATGTACAAGTAGCATTTTTCTTACATTTAACTATCCGTTCAATAGTACATCTTGTCATTGATTACAGTTTCAGAGGAAGTAAAAGTATTTAATTGCCTTTCGGATTTCTAAACAAAATAATAATAATAATAATAATAATAATAATAATAATAATAATAATAATAATAATAATAATAATAATAATAATAATTAAAAAAATTGCAAATAAATATTTGTTTCTCATTTTAAAGCAAGCCAACAAATTTTTTTCCATAAATACTACTTCCTCCATTTCAATTATGAGCAATGCTACTAGTACATCGGGGTGTACATCACGGTGTACACCCCCCTCACATGGGTAAGTGGCCCACTCGAATATTTTATTCAAGTGGACCCCTCCATGTGAAGGGATGTAAATCTTGATGTATACTTTTTGATGTACAAATAGCATTTTTCTTACATTTAACTATCCGTTCAATAGGACATCTTGTCATTGATTACAGTTTCAGAAGAAGTAAAAGTATTTAATTGCCTTTCGGATTTCTAAACAAAATAATAATAATAATAATAATTAAAAAAATTGCAAATAAATATTTGTTTCTCATTTTAAAGCAAGCCAACAAATTTTTGGACGAAAACGATCATTAAGGACAAAAAATGCTAATTAAAGAAAAATTAAGTATAAAAATGTGATTAAAAAAAAAGTTAAATACATATATGTCACAAGGAATAAAGGTTGAGGAAATTAAATGTAATAGAATATGATTTATTTATAAAAAATTGTGATGTGCATATAACTATGCTCAAAACACAAATTGATGACAAACTATTTTTATACAGCAAATATTACTTCCAAAGTAAAAATAAATCTGAACAATATTCCCCTTTTATGTGGAAAATGCCCGGGTCAAGACCCGGTACTACAAGTACGGTACTACAAGTATGAGACGTGGCAGAAAATACCCAGAAATGGGCGCAGGCCACCTTTCAAACTTCAAAATAGGAGAATGAGGTCCTTCGTAATCGATGGTTTCCATTAGCATTAGTTTCTTATGATTCTTTTTCAGAGGTCATCATCTCATAAGAGAAATGACCTGCGGGAACTCACTCCACTCTCTTAATTAGTACCGCAACCAGAAAGGGAAAACAACCTTCATTGTCAACAAAATTGCAGATTGTTTTATAGCAACAGAGCTAAGATATGCTGACATAATTCCCCCCCAAAAAATATAAGGTGGGTAAACAGGCAAACCACTATATATCTCAAAAACAAAAACCAAAATACAAACCAAATAATTTACATAAAGTCTTGCTTCCCTGCAAAAATGTTTGTTACCTTGACTTCTTAGTAGCATTTAGGATCCATAAACTTGTGCAGTCAATGCTGAATAGAAGCGAAACGGCTCAGTTCCACAAAGGCTACTGCATCATTTTCTGTTGTGCTGAAAGAAACTGAAGCATCCGAATTCCCCCTGGGACTTCTTATCACACTTTCTTCAAGAGGGCTTTGATTAGCAATTAGTGAAATGGTGTCATTGTTGTATAAGTCACTAGTCCTCCTAGCCTCTATATCTCTTTGTAGAGTCCTTAACGCTAAAGAATCCGCAACAGGAAGGTACACAAGCGTGCAGAGGCCTACCCCCGTGCAACATAGAAGGGAAAGAAAAGCCAAGAAAGCAATGGTATCGAACAAAAGTTTTTCTGGCTCAAATAGGACTGATAAACCAAGAAGAGTAACTCTCAAGGGAAGAAAACTAGAAACAGAAAAGATTAATGCATACACTCTCTTTTGCAAACCCTTATTGATGACCAAATGAAGAATTTGCCTCCCAAGCCAGAACAAGTATGTAGTTAGAATGGTGGCAAAAAGTCCAAGGAAGATGGTACTCAACAGCGGGTAAGTGCAGAGAGCAACATTGTCATTGTCCTTTGTCTTAGAAGCAGCAGCAGCTTTAATGAAATAAGGTGGTAGTTTGTGCCAGCGATTCTCCTTGTCGTACTCTGGTCCAATTAAAATAACAATGAGCTGAAGAACAAACATCGGGAGACCACATAGAAGAACACAACCAGCTGTTTTTGCATTCCATTTCTGGCTTAAAGTTCCAGACCTCTGTAAAGAAGCTCGAAGAAGAAATATGAGGGTGAGAAACAGGCACGGTTCTGCAAACCCTAGGTTTGAAACAATGTAGCATTTGCAAACAGTTTCTTGCCATTTCAAACTGAGGGCATCCAAGACTCTACCGTCACGTCTTAAAAGATTCAACCGAATAATTTCTCCAGCACCCCACCAGACTGAAAAAAAAATTAACAAAATTCTGATGATCCAAGGAGCACTAAAATAATTGAGCCGGATAAGACCTTGACCACGGATACGATTGTGGAAGTAAAATGAATAAATGGTACAAAATAAACCCAGAAGGACCAGAGCACCAACAAGGCAAATCGTCACCACAGCAAGTGCATCAGCAACAACTCTTGTCAGGGGCATTAGCCAAATTACAGATTCCACGCATGCTCTCCGCCAGCATGGACACAAGAATATTCTCTATTGAGTACAGAATTCCTTCTCGATGACTGAAAGCAAGCTGAGCATCGTTGGAGAAAGATGATACAAGACTCCTATTGACTGTACAGACTCATTTGGAAGATCAAATAGATACTCCTATTAGGTTTCTGACCTTGCAATCGACGTCAGCTATGCTAATAAAGACTAAGCAACTTCCAGATTTCAGTTTCAAACCTACTTATAAACAATCAAAGCTTTGAAGAATAATTTTCATAACCGAGAATGAAGGATCTTGCCAAACAACCTACAATATAAGTAGTTATAATCAGCTATGCATCCAAAGAGAAGAGATGGCTAGGCAAACAGCTTTAGGGAACGCAATAAAGTAAAAAGATAAAGAAATTTTCAAGAATTAACATTGATACTAACTGTAACCAGTCAACTGTGTACTATGCTTGCATGTGCGCACTTATCAATGCGTGTTGCATGTGAGAGGGAAAGAGAGAGAGTAGTACCAAAACACGATTCGCAGTAAAAGAACTGATAAAATCTAGCTGTTAGTGTCATAGATTAGAAGCTTTTTTTTCCCCTTATAGTGAAGAAATTACGGGGAAAAGAATGCATATATTTTTCAACAAAATAATCTCCATCAATAAAAGCATGAAAAAAAATGACTAGTCAATGTTTTTCTCCCCAAACTAATCTAATCGGTCAAAGCCTAATAAATTATCAGCGCAAATACAAATGGTTCGTGGTAAGGTGTGTGAAGTGCGGTAGATGAACCAAGGCATGGACCAATCACTGGAACTAAAATCTTCAGGTGAGCATAATATGAGCAAGTTTGGTGATCCCATCATTTTAAAGAAAAATTCAGCAAAAAAAAAATAAATAAATAGTCAACATTTCCTTGAGCAAAGTCCCAAATTTAATATTTATTTAAGCAACTGATCAACGTTTAGTTGGCCAAATTATAGAACCACATAGAAAACAAATTATCCATGGGTCCAAAGAAATTGGCTGGATATACCAAAAACTAAATAGAGAACACTTTATAGTTGTTTGCTTTTTCTTTTCTTTATTAAAAGGTGGTTTGAAGGAACACCCCTACTCTCTTCTCCTAATACTTACTATGTCTTTTCTCATCTGTCGCCCTTCGGGCAGTAGGCTTCCTAGAAAATTTCCTATTTATTTTGAAGCCACTTGAGGGTCAGAAAATAGGGGAAAAGAGACCCCATAGCATTGTTTAGAAGTGAAGAAAGTTGTTGATACAATCAAGTACCTGGGTGTTTTCTTGTCTCTGAAGAGAATAAATTCCTCTACTGGAGAAAATGAAAAAGAGAATCTCAGGTTGGAAAAGAAAATTGTTGTCCTCCGGAGGTCGACTAAGGCTTATTAAACATGTTCAAGTCTTCCTATGCACATTCTACTGGAGAAAATGAAAAAGAGAATCTCAGGTGACATAAGATTCGTGTATATACCGAACGTAACTGAAATTCAGAAAATTGCTATAAAATGCCCTATCCCAGTTATCTAGGAATGGAAGCACATCTTGCGCAGCAATTAGAAGAAAAACAAACTGCCACGTCCCAAGCACTCTTTATGAACAGAAGAAAACAAATTTCACTAAACAGATGTGGGCCTCATTCTACAAGGCGAGATAGAGCCTCATTATCACAGATAAACAAACAGCTAAATGGACTTGCCAAGAGACACACGTGGGAAAAATTGCACAAGCCACCTAATAATGTACTTTCAAAGATTACTGGATATATCGTGTAATTTTAATTTTCAGTTTTTCACATTACATAACTGCCCATTGAATTCATTACAAATGTCTTCATCAATACTCAATTTTCCTTGTTACCTTTATTTAGTACATCTAGAACATTTCAGGTGGTAAATATCCAATTTCCGGTCATGGAAGCATTAGCTTCACCAATCAACAATATCAACTCTTTCTAGCTCTCGCTTAACTACCATAGGGCTCCAAAATAAATCATAACACCGCAGACTCCTATACATTCCTCCCACGTGTCAACAAACAAGTTGGGTGCTCTACCAAACACTAATAAGTTGACCTGTCATTGTTTTTTCACAGTAACCTGAGTTTGGCAGCAGTGCACCGCAACAAGAAAGAAGCATTCCATCAGATAAATTAAATGCACTAGGAAATTCAGGATTAATAACATCAAGTAGACATACCCAACACCGACAACTTTCCGGTACTGTTTCAGTGTCTCCAAATAAAATTACAGTTTATATGCTGCACAATTTCCCATTCTATTCACTCCATGTATCCTCATTAAATATCTTTGGGAACCAAATAATTAACTCCATGAAATATAACTATCTATGGACCAATTCATCTGCCATAGCTATCCAAAAAATTTCAACACCTTCCTATCTTATGGATATGGAATAACACTTGGAACACAAATATTTTCATATACATGCACGTAAATGTACGTTATATTTTTTTCTGTTTTCATCATGTAATTACAACTCCAAGTTATGTTGTATAATTCATGGCACAACAAAATAATTAACAAGAAAGATCTACATCAGATTCTGATTGATAAAAATATATCCACGAAACCATGTAGAAATTCATATAAAATAATAAATATAGACCGGAAAAGGTGTCAAAAAAAAATTGTCTTATGAACACAGCAAGCATGAGTGGCAAAAATCTTGAAAAACCTTCATAAAACGCACATCTTTACCAGAATGCGCAACAGATAACCCTAATCTAATTCACAGTAAAAAAAGAGGAAGGAAAACTTAAAGCCATAAATTACGAAAATTAGATCAGGAGAAAGCTTACAGCAACGATCTGGAGAGCTGAAACGCCGAATGTGAAAGTCACCAAAATCCACTTGTGTGAGAGAAAAGATTAGGAATTGAAGACATACAGTACTTTAGAGAGGGGTCAAAGAGGGAAAACAATGTGAGGAGAGTAGGACGAGTCTTCGAAGAGAGAGGTGAGGTGGGGTGGGGTGGAACTTTGTCTGGCGACAGCCTGTCGACAGCGAATCAACCCAGATTATGTATAGACGTGAGTCAGTATATCATGTGTACATAGTGAAAATTATACAATTGATCCTCAATCTATTGTATTGATGGTAAGTTAGTCCATATACTTTTACAGAAAATTATACTATACAAAATCTATTGTCTAGATGGAAGTTGTTCCCTAGACTTTCAACGAAAATTATATTATTATTGATTCAAAATCTATTTTCTCGATGTTAAGTTGTCCGTAAACTTATAAGACGAGTTAGTCTATCCAACTTTTATTACGAGAGTTGTAAAATTTGTCTCTATATGAAAATTAATTAATTTTTTTTTAAATTGTCACATGATATTTGTATGTTTAACTTTGCTTTATTATTTCATATAACTAAAGCGAGCTAAAGCAATACGTGTTTCCATGGAGATTATGTACCAATTTAAATAAATCTTGGATGATTTATGTCAATGTGAATTGGTTGTGTGACATTAATGAAAAGTTGGTGACCAACTTGTTTTCTTCTTTAAGTTGAAGACCAATTGGTCACTAAAAAGGTTAATTGAGGCTGAAATCTGAATTTTTTTTTCCTATTCATAACATTGTGTGTGTGTGTGTGTAATAGCCCTCGTTGATATTGATATTTACAATTAAATACGTGTATATACTTGCGTGTATTTGTTATAGGTTAATTATGGGTAATTATATTTACCAGTTTTATTATAAATGAATTATATCTTAATTTCATTAAAGGTCCATAATATTTATTTATGGTCAAACTTTGTCCATAAATCATTTTATTGTATTCTCATCCACAACAATTTAGTAAGCATATATTGTCCACGATGATGATTTTTGTCAAAATACTCTTCTAGCATGCTATAAAGAAGGGGTAAATAAACGCTTTTGTCTTTGATTTTGATATATTTTAGCTAATTTAGAAATACTCGTAGTAAGCACAGGCATTGCGCGTCTTATGTATCGAATGGATGATATGCGTAATATTTTTAAAATACTAAAACTATTTTTTTGAAATAGTTGAGGTAATTAATATTGTTTAAGAAAAAATTAAAATTGTAATATATGCATGCATGCATGCATGTATGTATGTATATGCATTCAATTGTCTTATAAAGAATAATTGCAATCTTTGTTTACTGACTTCAGTCTTATAAATATGAAAACAAATTTAAGATATGACAACAAAAATACACATTAACAATTAACAAAATAGAAAAAGTTAATATTTTTCAAATTAAATTGACGACCTACTTCATTTTGTTGGTCTATTGATGATGCCTCGTTTCTGTTAGTATTTTTTACGATGATGTATTCATCTTTGATATTTCTAGCATATAAAACAAAAGAGTCATTGATATGTTAATTTAGTTATTTATTTATCAATGTTGAAAAAAATCATATAGAAACTATAGAACATATCATACAAATATAACATCATACAATACGTCGTTATCAAGAATGTGATTGTGCACAAATACCAATATGATAAGCGACGTATACTAATTATAATTAACACTTTAAAAAAATTTAATATCAAAAATTGGGTAAATATGAAAAATAAATCTCAAATGATTTTATTTAATATAAAAATGGGTCAAAGATCAATCAAAGTGGTTGCTATTCACATTCAAAATCCCAATTGTCAAAGTTCAATATAATTGCACCTATACTAATGTTTGATCATCTCTCCTAAAAGTAATTATTAAATCATAGTTTAATAAATAATAAAATAACTAAATAAAAACCATAAAATAGAAGTATTAAAAATATAAATCGTCAAGCCAAAGATGAAAATAAATATGGCATATAGATGTCCGCCAAATATGGCTCCAAGAATTCATAAATTCATAAATCTAAAACGGAAATTTCAAACAATTAAATCCACGATATCAAATTTAAATTGAAATGAAAACCAAGTTTAATTAATCGCCAAAAAAGGGAGAAAAACACCACA